AGTCTTCTATTGTTCTATTGTGGCATTCAGTGTGGTCTTCTGCTGCTGTATCCCATCTGATTCAAGGTTCAACGTGCTGTTCATTCAGGTTATTTGAGTTGTTGTCAGGTTAAAAGATATGGCTATTCTCCTCTGACCACTGACATCAAGCAGGTATTTTTAATTTTGTCTCTCTGTAAACCCTACAGATGACTGCGTGGAAAAATTCCCAGTAGATCAGCAGTTTCCAAAAAACTCAGACCACCCTGTCTGGAACCAAAACGATGCCATGTTCAAAGATGTTTAAATTACCTTTCTCCCTCATTTTGATGCACAGTTTGAGCTTCAGCAGGTTGTCTTGGCCATGTCTACATGCCTCAGTAAGCCTAGTTGCTGCCATGTGATTGGCTGATTAGATTAATGCATTAATGAGCAAATAAACAGGTATATCTAAAAAAGTGGCGAGTGAATCTATAGTATCATTGTTCATGTCTGTCTGGGTGAATTGACTTGAAACGTTTATACAAAATACACAATAAATTATGTTTAAAAATTGCTGCAGTGCATGAGACCATACACTTTAAAAACACAGGACTATACATAATTGCTCTGAATATTAAGATAAATAATATTTGCTCAGTAATATAAGGTGTGAGGTGCTCCTGTAGCTCTCTGCTTTACAGTCTGAATTCTTTGGGATTGTGAAACTGCATACCTGCTGTGGATTTACCCTACAGGCCACAGTTATTTTTACTCCTGCTGACAAGTGATGAGAATTTAGCTGTAATCCCGCGAATCAGATCTCTTATTACACGGATGAGATGGAGCTTCACGATTCGCTCCACTGTTATTACAGCAAGTTATTTTCTCCCTTTAGTGGTTTCACACTGGCTAATGGGGGCTTCGAAGTTGCGTCACAAATTAACAATCAGACACATCTGGCGCCATCCTGGAGGCCCAGTGGAAGCCTGTCTGAATGTAAATAACTGCTGAGTAGTGCAACGGCAGGCCAACAAATGTTTTTCAAGTTTGATTAAACAGCTTGTATTGTGTTACTAATATGACACTTTGGGGAATTTTGTCCTAAAGTAAGTGCAGGCTCAAGCAGGAATTACCATTCTAAGTTAACGCTCACATAACATAAAAATGTGGTTTGTTTTGAGAATTTGGAAATGTATTAAAAGCATTGAGAGCTTTCATTTTACGATGGCAGTGAAGTGCAAAAAGGTGACGGACTGTGACAAATCCGATATGAAATGTGGTGCTGAATAATGCCAGGGTTTTGTTTTGGGTTTTTTTTGGGTTGAGCCCTGACAACAGGAAAAAAAGATTTCTAAATTGTTTTGGCACACGTAATTGGAAACTGATATGCAGTTTTTGAATTTACAGTCTGTCTCAGAGCTGTCATTTGCCATAACCACTTTGCATGTCATTACCCTGAATTTATGCTAAGATTAGAAAGACAGCACTTCATTTGGTGCTGATCTGTTTAGACTAAGAGAGAACTGAGCTGGTCTCACAGGGAATATTTTTCCTGAAATAGTTTTGAAATTGCCCCCCCTTTTTTTTCTTTTTTTTTACAGACACTGTAGAGCAGCACTTACTCTGATGCCAGATCTACGTTGGTATTGCATGTCTGTAATTTGAAATGTATTTGTTTAAGAATTACACAAAAATTGGGAATACTGGAGAAGAAAAATCAAGCAGACATTAGAAAAATAACAATCCCACTGACACAATCCTTATTATAGTCAAGCCTGTCCTGATATATTTCTACTAAAAATTCTTTTTACAGCAACAGTTTTACTCATTTGCTTCATTCATTGTTTTGTTGCATCATTAATAAATACAAGTGATTTTTCAATACTACTTTGTTAGATACAGTGGCGTGAAAAAGTAGTTTTTTGCATTACTGTCAAACCCAAGATCATCAAACAGTTTTTAACATTAGCCAAAGATAAAGCAGGTAAAATGCAAAAATGCTGTTTTTTTTTCTTTTTTATATGATAAAGGAAAAAGGTTTATCCAATCCTACCTGAACATTTGTCAAAAAGCAGCCGACTCCTAAACCTAATAACTAGTTGTGCCAGCCTTGGCAATACAAACAGCAATCAAATTTTCAAGTTTTTGTGATAATAACATCACTGTGGAGGAATTTTGGCTTCTTTGCAGAATTGTTTTAATTCAGCCACATTGGAGGGTTTTCAAGCATGAACAGACTGTTTATGGTCATGCCAAAGCAACTCAATTTCATTTAAATCCACACTTTGACTAAGGCCAAGCTTTAAAGGCTCTTTTTTTGCATTTCAGCCATTCAGAGGTGGACTTGCTGATGTTTTTTGGACCACTGTCCTGCTGCATAACCAAACTGAGCCTGAGCTTCAGGGCATGAATTGATAGCTAAACATTCAGCTTCAGGATTTTATGGTAAAGAGCAAAATTTATGGTTTCCTCAACTATGGTTGTCTGGATCCAGACCATCACACTACCGCCACTGCTGGTATGATGTTCTTTATATGAAAAGTGTTAGTTTAACATGAGATGTAACAGGAGTCAGACCTTCCAAATAATCTACTTTTCACTCATTAGTCCAACAGTGTCGAGACACAAAAGTCTTGAGGATTATCAAGATGTTTCTTGGTTTGTCTCTTTTTTTAATTGTTGAATCACAAAAACTGACCTTAACTGAGGCAAGTGAGTTCTTTAGAATGTTCCGGGTTATTCTGTGACCTTCTGGATGAGTCGTCTATTTGCTCTTGCAGTAATTTTGGTGGGCCAGTCATTCCTGGGAATGATCACCACTTTTCCGAGTTTTCTCCATTTGTATATAATGACTCTCACTGCGGTTCGCTGGAGTCCCAAAGCCTTAGAAATGACTTCCTAACCCTTTCCAGACCGACAGATGTCAATGACAGATGAGTTTCTCATCTGTTCTTCAGTTTCTTTAGATTGTAGCATTATTTGTTGTTATTGAGATCTTTTAGCCCACTTCCCTTTATTAGATGGGCCCCTTTTTTTAATTAATTCATCAATTTAAGGGGGAAATTACTTTTTCACACAGGGCAAGTTAGGTTTGGATAGTTCTTTCCCTTAATAAATGAAATTATCATTTAAAAGCTGAGTTAAATTTTAATATTTTACAAAGATAAGTGTGACAAATATGCTGAAAGCTGCCATATTAGAAAAAAGTGTTTCCATATTAGATCTTCAGGCAAATGACTAATTACAGAGAAAGAAGTCATTTTGAAAAGCAGGGGTTTTCAAATGTTGTCTGAGATGCTCCATGCTAAGACGCTGATAAAAAGTCATGCCCAAAACACCTCACCGTTGCCCATGGTGATTTGTTTTTCCTACCTCACTAAGCTCAGCTTTCCTCCAGGACCAGAGGCGATTGGAGAAACAATTTTGCCTTGTCTGGTTCTGTGACATTCAGATGGTAAGATCATAATTTAAACATGAAAATAACATGAAAGCATAGATCCACCCTGCTATGTGTCAACGGTCTAGGCTGGTGGTGGTACAGTGGTATTTTCTTGGCAATTTCTTTATCTTTCTTTCCTTTTCTTGGCACCCTTGGTGTAGTTTAAACACCACACTACACTACCCGAGTATTGTTGCTGACTATGGTACACTGTGGTATTAGATGGATAGACAATCTTCTGTTGGCTTCTTCATGAAGCTTAGATCAGAGCTTTTTACAGATTCACTGTATTCAAATGCCCCCAACTGAGAACGTCTTGGATGTGTTGGAATGCCAGATTCTCATCATGGATGTGCAGCAGGTCCTAAACCCTTTTTAGTCCAGGCTGACCTGTGTGGTAGCCTATGTCACAATGTTCAGCTACATGCACCTCTAAAACCCTTGCCCTGGTGAACTTAACTATTTATTTACAACATCAACAATGTGTTGTTTTAGCTCTGACTTGTGCAATACCTCCTGGTGTATAATACAACACAAAATGATCAGTTTTAGTCAGATTTCGCTACTAATGTAACAGCAGCAAGTTTATCTGATTTCATTAAACAAATCACTCTTCGTCATAGTGTCTTTCATCTAGCGCACAGCTGTGAGCTCCGCTGTAATCTCCGCTGTAATCTCAAGCTTTTTTCGTAATCCCGCGTACAAAGATGAGAAACTGGGCAGTGTTAACTACATCACAGCTCTCGTCACATTTTCTGCTAAAATGTCCTGAAAAATACGATCATCAAACCTGACGCTCATTATTTTTTTTGACTTGTAGTGCTCACATCCCAGCACATAAACCCAAAAGGCTCAAATAAACACTGTACATGTGTTTTCATGAATGTATAATTGAATCCACCTGTTAAATACTTAGCAATGAAAAAGAGATTCATGGAAATGAGCTCATTTATTCACTAAATTGTGAAATACAGTCATCTTACTCAACTTTCTACTTCGAAGTAAAATGATGAAAACCTGTCTGCATATAAGAAATGAGCTGTTTGTACAGTAAAAAACATTTCAACACATATTCCACGATGTTACTCATTTTACTTATTTCAGGAGGACTCAGTTAACTGTAGTATCATTACACCAGAAAATACTTTGTCTTCCAGCTGCTTTAGCCTGCTATGAAATGTTTATTCCTTCAGGAAATAATGTGCAGAAATAAATACTTTTATATGAATACAAAGACTGCAGGTAGCTCATACAGTTTACTTTATGAATGAAATGATTTATGGCTAAACTCTCTTCTCTCTTCCCCTCTTTTAAGCCCGCAGATGAAAGGTAAATATCCTCCCTTTTCAGCTGAGGAGCACTTTATGTAAAATGTTGACAGAACTACATCTTCTTTCTTCCTCTGTTAGTCCAGTTGTCACAAGAAGTAGCCACATTTACGATCTTATGAACTTGTGCCATTATTTGTACACACATTTTATGTTTGACATCGTTGTATCTGAGACTATAAAATCATCATCGTTATGTGAATATTATTCACTTCTGAGGTAGAAAATTTGTAACCTTCTCAGTACATAATGTAGGATGTACAAGAGATGGTGTAGTCTGTACCTTACAGTAAATCTAATAATAACTCTCAAGCTCTGGGTTTAAATTGGCGTGTTGTGCTATTTTTGTTGTGTTTTCTGTGCAAAAAAAGGTTTGTTCTCCTTTGCTCAGTACTGAAATCAACATTGCTAAATTTTCACAATCCGCTAGAAGAAGAGTTGCAGGAGAAAGTGTTCCCCAAAACACCAAAAAATAATTTGTGCTCTTTTTAATAGCAGCACACCTGTTTTCTTTTTATAACAGGAAGTCAAACCGAGGTGCTTCTAAATGTTCAGTCAAACTTCTCTCACCTCTCCTTTTTGTGGTCCATTCACAGAAACCATACGCCTGTCAGATACCAGGATGCACCAAGCGCTACACTGACCCCAGCTCATTACGAAAGCACGTCAAAGCTCATTCAGCCAAAGGCCTTCAGGAAAAGGAGGTCAAGGTAATGAACATTAAAACCTTTCTATGTTTCTAAAACTTGACTGTGTGTCGTTCAGAAGCAAAGAGAGGATTCAGAAAGCGTGGTTAGAAATAAAAAATTATGGCCAAAGCATTTTTAAAAGCAACCTGGGGACGTTTTTTTAAAATTTGAGCTGCGTTTTGCCCTTAATGGATGGTTTGAGTGGATAGTGGAAAAGACATTTAATAAAGGTCCGTCTAGCCAGGAGTAAAACATGCAGTGTGCACCCTAACCACTCACCTATCAGGTTGTCCAATAGTGGGGTCATATTTAAGCTTTTATTGGATGGGATCAAAAGTACATAGTTTAAACCAGGATCACGTCAGTGCCTTGTATTCCTGAGCCACCTTCACAGGGCTGAAATTTACTGGAATCAATCGATTATTTCTCAACAGCTTAACAATATAAAACATGAAATGTTTTAAGTTATATTACTTGATAGATTTTTTTTTCCTTCCCAATTTATTATACTTGTTTGTCTGCAATTATACACAGCACATCTGGAGTTTGTATTTATGATGGATATTTGTCTTCTCTTGTTTGGAATACATGTTAAGTTGTGTTTCTTCTCATAATAATGAAAACAATACCAACTGCTATGAAGGCTCCACTCATTATTTGATGAAGTTATTAGGAGCAGCCATGCATGTTGTTTTTATTTCAGCACAAAACTTGAAGGTTATTATGACAAATGACAAAGAGGCTCTACAAACTAAAAGCAATGTCGGCAACTGTCCCACATTTGGCAAAAAACAAACAATCAGCACAACAACATAGCCGCTATCAACCACATTGATGAAGCGGTGATCATTTGGGTTTCTTTTGCAGCCACAGGACCCGGGTACCTTGCAGCCACTGAGTCAAACATGAACACCTCTGTATACCGATATTTAGATTCAATATAAGGCCATCTGTCCTACATTTATATCTTGCTTAAACTGGGTCATGCAACACGACAATGAGCCCAAAAACAGCAAAAACTCTACAACAGAATGGTTAAAAAGGTGTTGCAATGACCTCAGGCTGATCGAAATGTTGTGGTGAGACCTTAAGAGAGCTGTACATAAACAAATTCCTGCAAACCCCGATGGATTGAAGCAACGTTGAAAAGACGAGTGGGCCAAATTTCCTCCACATATTAATAAAGTCATACAGAAAACAATTATTTCAGGTTATTGCTGCTAAATCGTATGCTGCTAGATCATAGGGTGAACTTAGATTTTGAAACCTTATTATTCACATGACTGCATGTTTGTATTTAACCTCGTTTTAACCTGGTGACAAGACCCTTGAGGTTTAAAATGTCTTTCGCAACAAAGTCCTGGCCAACATAGACAGCTGCTTAATCAGCAGTGGTTACGGAACAATACTCAGTATTATAAGCATACACATTTACATAAAATAAAGAATGAAAGACATATTAATCAAAAGCAAAACTGAAGCCTTTATGGTCAAGCCTAACATCTGGAGGCAGATGTCCTGCCTGCAGGTGCCAAATCATTTAAATGATCTTGAATTCATTTAAAATTGATCCAATTTGGCAGAAACGAGTGACCGTAAAAGCATGCAATTTCTGAACAAGGATTTTTTTCTGTAAAAGTGACACACAAATAAAAGCTTTGCTTTCCTAAAACTATCAGTGAGTGTGCCATTCCCCAAATCTGGCATTTCAGTTAAAAATAGACAGCTTTTTTCAATAATTATTAAAACATAAAAATTGCCCCCCCAAAAAAGGTTATGTTTTTAATTCCATAAAGACACACACAGTCATTCATGAGACCTTGAATAGAAAATCTGTAGCTAAAAATGAACAAGCTCAGGAAGAGAAAGTAAAACAGGGTTTTTTCTGGTGCTACATCTTGATTTTATTTCCTGATTGTTACCTCATGTTTAAAAGCAAATGAGATGCATGTTTGTTCCCGTTTAACCTTAAGGTTCCAAACAATATTGTTCCAGAATTTTTTTCTTAAATATAGATAGAGAACTGCTTCTTTATATAACTTTCAAAGAGAAAGGGGGCTTCTCGGGGGTTGCAGGTCTTATTTCTGGAGAACTACAGCAGCAGCAGGAGAGAGTGGGTATGTTTATGATTCAGTAGGATGAAATACAACAAAACAAAGTATTACACACACTCCCTGGAAGTCCGAATAGGGAGCCTATTGTTCTGCTTTATCTGGGCCTTGTTTGTTTTCTATGGCCTGTGAGTGACACTGGAGCTTTGTGTGTGTGTTCGCATGCCTTGTTTGGTTTAAACAGAACCACGTGTGTTTGTAAGTTGTGACACAGTCGACACGCCCTGAGCTGCAGTAAACCCTGTGGGGCTAATTGGAACTTTGAAATATTAAAGATGAGCTTCTTAAGCTCCTCACGGGCATACATTTATTCGAGCTGATGTGTCACAGCGATTGAAGTTTCTGGCTTCGTGAACGCTACTTTGGGTGAGCATTTCTTGCTGATTATTCACGCCGCTTTTGTGGTTCCTGGGTGTCTGCCGCGAGCTTCTTCTGAATCCCGAAGCTGTCAATAAATTGTTTTGGAAAGTTCCGGGGGGATGTTCTGTTTAGCGCTGGATAATAAAGCCAATTGTTTAGCCTTAACTTTGTTAGAACGTTTTTGGAATACGATTGCCTAATAAGATTTCTGGATTTTGTACCTCAAGAAGCTGGATCGCAAGATGAAACAAGAACCAGGCATCTGGTGCAAACTCATTTCTTTGATAAATGAACAGTAGAAAACCTCCTGCAGCTCGCTCACTGTGTTTTCAGTTGCTTTACTGAATGAAATCAAAAGAGAAGTCATTTAGTTTAAACTTGCATGGGAGCTGCGTTGCCCAACAGCATATAGTTGGAACTAAGCTGCAGCTTTAACGTAATTATTCTCATCCCTGCATGCTGGCAAACAGCCACACTTGGTCACCAGCATGATAACACAGTGCTGTTATATGAAATGTATCTATATGGCTGTAATGCGTTTTGTCTTGTTGTCAGGTTCAGGTGCACACGATGCTGGAATCTGACATCTTAAGTGACTGCCTGGCACGCCAGCATCTCCACAGCTCTGCCTCGTCGCACCAAGAAAACAGCTCACCTTTACCGGCTTTAGATGACTTCACAGGTATGTGCAGATGAAACGGTAGCAGAAGTCTGTGCTTAGCCTCCAGTGCCTCTCTGGAAATGAGCAAAACCTAAAAGAAAAGAGTAATTGCCCAAAACACCTGGGCTGTTAAGCTGTCTCTTTCATTTTCTCCCATGGCCTCATTTGCTCCTTTTCCTTTCCCTCCTCTCTCATTCCTTCGATGATAGCTCATCATGCCAGTGTTTACCTTGTCCAATTACTGGGCACCATGACTGTGGGCAAGTTGGCCGTCACCCCACTTGTCCTTCAGCTTCTCCAAACGGGTTTTCCAGCCAAGCTCTTTTTCTTTCCATTTCAATGGCTGAACCAGAATCAAGAAGCTGTCAGGTACACTGAGGCTCAGTTGGCCAAAGACAGTGGAGAGCGTCCAGGAAAGCTGTCCATGTCTATTACTTCAGACTACTCGCCGTTTTACTCAGAAGACTTTGAGGGAAAAGCCTCAAGCGGCACGCTATGAGCTATGTTTAGTCAGGGTGAAACAAGCATGTCAGTGTTTAATTTTGAAAAAATCCCAGGAGGACTTTTTCTTATCTCAAATGGCCAAATGTTATAGCTTGAAAACTGCTTTCTGTTGTGGTATACTAGGTGGATTTATGGTGACACACACTATCATTGTCAGCTTGGCTTAAAACCTAGTGCTGACAGCTTACTGATTGCATGCAGGTACAAGTTACAGATTTAAATGAACAGCATGAAACTATATTTTTGATATTGAGCATTCAGTCCCTGTAGGCTTGAAATGTGGCTCTGAAAGGTTTACAGAAAAATGGATTACGCTGACCATGGAAACTCCTCAAAGTCTGCTTGCAACATAGTCTAATCCCCATCTGTCCATATGTGCACACTGTGTCTAATATACATGTATTTACACCAGAAATTGTTTTTCTATAGCACATTGAGTTGTTCATCAGTGGGGGGAAAATGTCACTACTGCATGATAATTTGGAAGAGTTTCATTTAACTATAAATTGAATATTTAAATATTTTCGACAGTTTTGTTTGCCTACAAGGAACCAGACTTTCTTGCCATTTTTTAAAGTGGTCTTGAGCAATAATTCTCTAGGCTTTCTAAAGGTCTTTCAAAGCGTTTCTTTGGACATTGGCTTTTTTTTTTTTTACTCATTTTTAGTCCAATCCTTGTAAAAGGGGCCTAATTGAATCAGTGTTGTGTCTACACAGACAACTTTGCAAAGAACCCATTTTAAATTATATCTGCAGGCATCTTGGTACCAACAATCTGTTGCAAAATTACATAATTTCTTCTCAAACTTAACAAACACACCCACCAAATGTTAGGAAATACCTAACACAGGACTTGAGAGGAAAATCTAACCCCTCAGGTGATCCATCTACTGTTCACTGAAGCCTCATCAGAAATGTGAAGAGAGGCTGAGGTATGCCAAATTACTCAGTAACTGGACTGAAGATCACTGGCAACAGCTGTTATTGGGAAATGAATACGAATCAGAGTTTTATTAGCATTTCAGTATTTATGGAGGAGGTCAGTAGAGCGGTACAAACGTCCCTACAGCCATCTGTAAAACATGGAGGAGGCTCTGTCATGGTCTGGGGCTGCTTCTCAGCCAGCGGTGTTGGGGTGCTTGTCAAAATTGAATGATTGCAGAAGAGTACAGTCAAATTTTAATCCACCATGTTATACCATCTGCAAAGCATCTGACTGATATTAGTTCAATTCTTCACCATGAAAATTATTGCGGACAGTAGAAGCATACCTGGATAGAAGAGCCAACAGTGGAGCACGATCAGTCATGGACTGACTTCCTTAGAGCCCAAACCTCAGCATTGTTGAAGCAGTGTTGCATTATGTTGACAGAGAAAGGAACAAGAGGCAGCCAACATCCAAAGATCTTTGAATGTCCTTCCAGAAGCCTGGAGAGCCGTTTCTGAAGACAGCTTGAGAGAATTCAGGCTGTGCTGAAAAATAAAGTGCAACACTGAGTAGAGTCAGCCCTTCATTTCTTTATGTTTTATTGGTGTTTGTACAATTCTAACAATGTTATAATACAATTCAATACAGCTTGAACCCAGTGAAAATCATCATTACAGGTAGTGATGTGATAGTGATGTAGTAGGAAGATTTAACTGCACAGATGCTCAGCAACTTTTATTTATATATCAATCAATCAATCCATTTATTTATAAGGTCATTTAAAAACAACACAGGTTGACCAAAGTGCTGCACATAGTAAAAAAAGTAGAACAAACACACAAAGAACTAAGTAAAAACTCAGTCACAATTAAAAGCTAGAGAGTAAAAATGTGTTTTCAGATGGGTTTTAAAAATGTCAAGTGTTGGAAAGATCCTAATTTCAAGAGGCAGACTGTTCCAAAGTTTGGGCGCAGCTGTCGCAAAGGCCCGGTCTCCTCAGTTTTTCAGCCTGCTTCTCAGCTGACCTGAGAGTTCTATTTGGAGCATTTTTAGTTAACTAATCAGAGAGGTATGACGGAGCTAATTTAGAGATTTAAAAACAAGCAATAAAATCTTGAAATCAATTCTAAAACGTCCTGGAAGCCAGTGTAAACAAGCCAAGACTGGGGAAATATGGTCATGTTTACGAGTGCCTGTCAAGAGTATGAAAATATATGAAAATAATCAGAGTACAGCCAGTTAGTAACTAGTTGTGTTAAGCCTCGACTGACAGGAAAGGTGTTGCAGGCTGACACAGATTGATTGCAACATCCTGGTAATCTTTCTGCATTTCTAAATGAAATGCCAGTTATCTTAAAACATTCACCAGTCTGTCTAAAACTAATCAAAGTCGTTCTGTCTGACTGTGATTGTTTGGAGACGGGTTTCCTCCATGTGCAATTGCTGTGCAATTGAAAGTATTTACCCAGTGTATGAGGAGATTGCACACTCAGCCTCCGGGCAACCAGTTAGTTGCCACAACTACTTGCGGTCGATCTCTGACAGCAAAAAAGTTCAGCTTTTTTTTTTTCTTCTTCTTTCCGTAGATGCAAGGAGGCAATAAAAATAGGGATATTTATTCGAATGTAACTGAGCCATTAACTCCTGTTTTTAATACAAAACACTAGATTTAAGTTTTTGTCTTTTGTCTCTTTTGTGTGAGATTTGTTTGGACAGCATGTGAGAATGAAAAGCATTGCAACACTTCCTAAACTTTTGGTGTTTGGAAAACTTGGCTACATGTAATTTGGCGTAGAAGTGAAATACGTTGGAGTTGAAGTTTCTAATGATTCTAATGTTAACTCCTACTCTGTTGTAACTGTTATATACATCATCCAACCTTTGCTGCAGACACCTCAGACTAGATGTGGGACCGGATGTGGAGGTGGATGCTCAAAATGTTTGGTGGAGCAGATTTACTGAGGTTATCTGTGGCTCTCTTTCAGGTGTGTACTCAAACAGCAGCAGCACCGCCCACAGTCGGGGGAATTCAGAGTTTCTGCCCCCATCAGCAGACTCGAGGTATCCAGGCCTGGAGGGAAACTTTGATGCTAATAGCCCAATATCTTCATTAACAAGCCCGGGGAGCATGAGAGAGGGGTGAGTGTAAGATCAGAGCTAGTTCAAGTTAAATGCGGTGCATCCCCTGAGCATTTATTTATTTTTTCATACAACGAAACTGGACTGGAAGCAGTCCACTTAGTTTTTATAGCAGAATAATAGATGTTTAGTGACTTGCTTATGGGCAGCAGTGGCAGTAGTTAAATCTGATGGAAGTTTATCTTCCCCAAGGTTGCATCTTGTTGCACCATTGTGAATATTTTCTTTCATATAATAAAAAGCAAAGAAACATCTATCATTTTTAATTTCTACTCTGTCATGTATTTCAACATTGGGCTGCTTTTATTTCTTGGGCAGGAGATTACTTTACTGACATTTAACAATAAAACGAGAGGCAAGCGTAAAATGGTCAGTTCATCCAAATCACAAAAATAAAGAAAAGACATATTTTCCTACTTACCCCTCGTGGTGTCTGGCAAGGTTTTCAGTTATCTGCTGCTGGGATTTCTGCTGCCAACTCACTACAGTGCAGCTGAATAAGATTTCATGTGGCAGTTTTTATTCAGAGTTATTTTCTACGATAGATAAAAATAGTGAAAACTAACAGACCTCAATTTTATGCTCCTTTCTGTATCCTTTTCAAGGATTCGCCCCCAAAACCTCTGCTTTTATATGTCCTAAACGTATTGTTTAAACATATCTGGCATGTATTAAAGTGTTTCTAAGCTGCTTAACACTTCTGAGCAGTCCGGCTCTGTTCCACATTAAACACTGAAGCTTCAAAGTGATACTAAAGATTTCACAGTCATTTTGTTTTGCTTTCCCTCATCTCTGATTTCTAGAAAAAGCCAGAGAGATCCGAGCTTGTGCATTCTTGAATAAACCAGAGACATTATCACCAGAGATGGAGTTATGGCTTTGTGGTTGCACTGATTGGGTAGTTGGAGACCACAGAACTTATGTGCACTGTAAGCTGAGACAATTTTTCTCTAGGCAAGTATAAAAGTAGAAGTGAGACTAAAAAGATACAGCTGAAAGCCTCCAGGGCTGCAGTTTCTGGACAATAGGGCCTAAAATTATTGGTCATTGAAGGTTTGCCCATAAAGTAACTTTTATTGGCACGATAGTAAAAACAAAAACAGTCTGTCTAATAAAATAGCATCAATAAAGGCCAGAATAACATTTTTGTGGTTTAATAAATGATATAAAATATTACCATATAATGCACATTGTTTCATATGAAATTCTTCCAATATTTCCAAGGGTTGTTTTCAAGCGGCCTTCTGGTGTTTGGCTTAAATGTTAAGATTGGTTGTTTTCTCTGAGCACTGATTTCCACAGGTTTAGGTTTTGGGTTTCATCATTGACCCTTAGGGTTGAAATGAAAGTAGCAAAATGTCTACTATGTATAGTTGTGACTTTTCCAGAAAGGCAGGCAGAGGAGATGTTGCCCAATTCATCAGCGAGAAAAGTGGACTAGATAAAAACATATCCTTCCATGATTTTGTGTCACTTATCTTTTATTCTTTTATTTATGCCGACAGCCTCGTGTGTCTTACTTTACTTAGACCGTTTACTTAGACCACTTAGAAGTGCAATTAATTAGAACTCCTTCACTGATAATACCTGAGTGTGATACAATACAGCTGATTTAAATGGCTAAATTACCTCCTTAGCGTGTCTTGAAGTTTTCCAGAGGCCTGGTAACGAACTAATCATTTGATTCAGGTTTGTTGACCCAGGGTAATATATCTAAAACCTGCAGGACACCGGCCCTTGAGGCCTGGAGTTCTCCACCCCTGGTTTATGGGATACATATTGACATTTAAGCCAACCTCCCTTCTATCCTTTAGTGATATTGTGCAAACTCTGCAAAAGTAGTCTGCATGTTTAAGTGATGGCGAATCCACTGATTAGAATTGAAGCTGAAGAAGGTTTTTTATTTTTTTATTTTTTGGTCAATGTCATCTTTTTTGAAAGGATTCAGATTTGACCCTGACTGCCGCACATTGCTAATGCAAAGTGCATTATATTGATTAGACACATATCTGAGATTGTTTATGGAAATGCTTGGTGATTTTTAAAATGTAAGAAATATGTATCAGTGGAAATTTGTCTCAATGCAGAAGCTTTTTTTTTAATTGTAAGATCTTTATTTTTTTTTCTTATGATTACAAATTAAAAAAAAGTCCACTTCTGTTTTTCAGATATTCTTACATGTTACGATTAGTTGTTCCTCTTTGAAAACTACTCAAGAAGTTATTGTATTGGTAGTGATTAAACTACATCATAAAAGTATGTGTGCCAGCCACAGGCCTTGGGTTGAGGAGATTGTATTGTGTCGGTCAACCAATATATATACAAGAAAACACAGAATTTCTAAGTACTATTTGATCTGGATTTTATTAAATCACTTTAAAGTTTACAAAACAAATACAAATTTTAATAAATCAAACATTTGGATGCTTTTGTGCATTTTTAGGAACTTTGCTCACCTCTCTCAGAATCTCTCCACCTTCCTAAAATGTGCAGCTACAGTAGAGCTTCCATGAAGCTATGCACAATCCGTCCATTGACGTCTCTTTATAGCAGCGGAGGATGTCATTGAATCCCACTGGTGCCCACAGTATATGACGACCTGCCAAAGCTAATACCAGACAAGCACTTGATTTTCCACAAAATGACTTTGACGAGAGACGTTAAACACGTGAAAGTAAATTATCTTTTCTTCATGGTGCAGGCAGCATCATGCTCTGACCTCATAGGGAGGCCAATGTTTACTCTGGCTGTAATGAGCCATTTTGACGTCTTTTAATACTTTACAGAGGCCCGCAGTGAGGCTTGTCCATCAGTTTAGTATTTGTGATGCACAGTGTTTGTATATATTGTGCGGTTGGAAGAGAGAGGTAGCGTGGTGCTGGATTTGCATTTTTTTGCAGCAGCGTGTCCATCAGATACAGGCACACTAACCAGGATAGCGCTCACACAGAAACACTATTATACAGTTTGAAGGAAGGCGATGTAATGAAGTTTATTTTGCAGAAACTCCAAGTGACATTGGACCTAAATAGCCGCTTTAAGTGAAATCCTTCACTTTTTTTTACTTGCTGTAGCTCTAAAATGAAATGCTTGTGCTGTAGTTTCCCTAAGCACTTAGTGGTAGTACTTAGATCCCATTAAATCTCCATCTGTATTGCACAGATTTAACGTAATCCCCTGTGATCCATTAAATCCATATCACCGAAATACTTTCAAAATTCAAATTCGAAACATCAGGTTTGTGATCATAAGCTGGCACCAGTTAAATAGATAGATAGATGAAACTTTATTAATCTCTCGGGTGGGTTTCTCCGGGAAATTCAGTTCCTCCGGGAAATTCAGTACATGCAGTAAATGCAGCACAATGCGCAGAAGATCTTAAATTCTGCAAGCTGGATTCCTTTCATTCTGCATAAGCAGTAAGGATGGCAGCTGGCTGTAGTTAGTAAGAAAAACGTGAGTCCTGCAGAGGGTCAGTTGGTAAAATATGGTCAGACAAGAAGTTTCCTGAGGTTTACTGACAGCCGCTCCCTCAGCCCTGGGCCCTCGGTAAGCTCGTGCATGTGAGCATTTGGGCACACCGGCCACAAAGTGACAGATCGACCCAGCACAGCTCAGACATCTCAACTATGTTGTTGCAACATTACAAGAATGTAAGCCGTGGCGCAGACGGCGTTGTTTATAGTTAAGGTCAGCGCTGATGGTTCAGGGGCCAGCGAGGGGAAATTCAAAGATGTGTTGAATTCTTTTGCCTTGCAGTCATTGCAGCACATTCATTTCAACAGCCACGCTATATCAAAGGCCACGTTGTTTACATAATACTATACAAAGCCTGGATTTTATTACCTCGGGAAGCCACAGCCATCTGTAAGTTATATCAGTTTGGGTTTCAAAAAGTCCTTCTGATTAATTTTGGCTTTTATTGTATTTCTCCGATGAAAGCAGAGACTGTTAACTTAAATGTAATAGCATCTGACATGGGAAATGGGTAATAAAGAGACTTGGGGATGATAAATGATAGATATGTAAAGAAATCTCCAAACATTTCCTCTTTTTATAGCTGATCAGATGTGAAAATATACGATGTTCAGGCCAGCAGCCATCGGTATCTCTGACAGGGCCTGGCTTGTTTATGAAGCCCACTAAAAGTCTTCCAGCAGAAACCAGTGCTGTTTGGCTCTCTGGGGACCAATATGCTGCAGTACATCATCCAGGAAAGCCTTCAGGCCACATGAAATGCTGAGAGTGGGCTCTTTGAAGGTGGAAGGGGGGCACTTGAATACCGTACGGGGTTTTTTTTTTTTTCAGCTGCGTATCTCCTTAGAGAGAAATTCAGCTGCCTTTCTTTCTTCTCGTCGACTTGGCTCCACTGACTCATTCGTTTCCATGTTGAGTCAGAGTGTTTGTGCACAGTCAGCACATTCTTGCAGCAAAGAGATGGATACAGCTCTCTGCAGCACATTACCCTCCTGAGGTGGAAACGCTTTCTTATACAAACTGCGCTGTTTGCAGAAGAGAAGTGTTTACATGTTTCTGATGTATACAGTGGTCAGCTGATGTTTATCTGATTTAATTACCTGAAAACCTCATGCCCTGGGTTCATTGTATCAGAGTCAGTGCTGTTCTTGCATTGATTGAAACCTTCCCTATGAAATAATTTTCACAATTTAGTTTAATACAACTAAGATTGAAGTTCCATCAATCAGAGAGTTACAACATCATTATCGTTTTACCATAATATTTATTGGCTTGGAAAACTTGTGTTGAATTTTATGGTGCTTAAGAAACGCTGATATACATCTCAGTGTGACAGAAACTTTCAGCAGTTCAGCAGAAGTGAAGGTCAGGCCAAAAACAGCATTAGTGTAGAAACAGGCCGGGCTGAGTCAGTCACATACAGGATCAATTCTCTGGAAACTTAATTTCCACTTTAAAAAAAAAGAATAATAATTTTTGAGTTAAACCATCAAACCTGTCACTTTCAACTTGTACTTAGATTTGGTCTTTAAATGGCTTCAGTAGGACCTGTTGACACGTAGCACTCCATCACTATGATGAATGTGGTCAGTGTTTATTCATTTTAACACTGAAACACACGCAGTAATCAGTACTGGAGTTTAAAGTTAACTGTGTTTGTGGAGAATAGTTTGATGTTACTAACTTTAGAAATCATCTCTTATTTCTTTATAGTTTACTTCCAAGGAGCTGGACTTTCTTGTAATTTTTTTAAAGTGCTCTTGAGCAACAGTTCTGCAGTTTCTGGAGGTCTTTAAAACTTTTTCTTTGGACCTGGGCTATTAACTGAAAACTTATCTCAATGTGGTGTGGAGTGTGTCCTTAACCTCCTAAGACCCGAACTCTTTCATGGCATATCTTTTTAATTTTTCTTTGCTATTTGGGACCTGATGAATGTAAAAACAAAGAATTACCAGAATTTTTGTTTCTTTGAAAAATTAGATCCACTTATGAGGACATTTGTCTTAAATTTCAGTAGAACGGTGGCAGTATAATGTCCTCGTAAGTGGATACTAGGCCTTTGAAGAGTAAAATTTAGTATTGTGGTCTAGACAACCCAAAATGTGATGTCCACATATGTGGATGCCAGGTCCTAAGAGGTTAAGCAAACTGGTCCAGTTTTGCCTAAAAATCAAAAGAAAAAGTGATTGGCCTAAAAATGATCTATGGCAGTTGATCATTTTTATCAGTTTCTGAAAGTCATGTCCTTAAGAAATATTCAAAAAATCTACCAAAGACCTGACGCAGGACCTGAGAAAGGCATCTGGCCCATCAGTTGATCCATCTACTGTTATCTGTCTACTTAAGAATATTCAGGAATGATTTCACTGGTTGGATGTCTGTGAAGAAGCCATTTATAAGGAAGGTAAGCAAGCAGAAAAACTTGTCATCTGTGGCAGCAGGGCTTAATGCAAAATTGGCCTGGTGGTTGGTTGTCAGGTTGTTGGGGTTTTCTCCACATTACTGTAGAGTCTTTACCTTACAGTATAAAGTGCTTTGAGGCAACTGTTTTTGTGATTTGATGCTAGATAAATGTTTATGTTGTGCGTTTCCAGGAACAGACCAGCTTCCTTGTTTGTGTCCGCTGATGTGATCCCAGCGAGTCCCTGCTCAGACAGAGTGGACGTCCGGCTGCAGGGCTTCCAGAAAACCTACAACCACCAACAGCAAGTGTTCTCGCAGCAACACGGTACAGACAACATCAAGTCAAGTTATGTGAGCGAGGCGTGTGTTCAATGCCATGCTTCATCTTCGTCTACTCTGTGGTTCTCCTAGGTTGCCTGTATGGAGAGGGAAAGATGGCTCAAGCACCCAGCGATGGAGGTTTTGAGCCTCCAAGTTACTTCACCAACCAGCCCGCCTCCCACTCTACAGGTGAGACGTCAACTACACAAATGTAGCTTGTTGCTAACCAATCTGTGGTAACCTGTAGTTTTCTTTCAGAGCTGAAATAAGCTTTCTAATGTGATTTTAAAAAGATCTATATAGCTGATAATTATCTGACTAAAGAGTAAAACTAAGACTGAGGCTAATAGCTTTTTATCCACTTGTTGTCCATTTGGTCAAATGAAGGTTTTTAGAGCCTTTTTACTTAAACCAGCTACTGAAAGTGACACTGTAAGAACAGTGGGAGTAAACTGAGACTAAAAATTTACTGAGCAGACAGATAAACAGTGAGCTTAGTAGGTTTTAATATTGCCTCATGGTTTCCATGCTGTTATTTGATGCCATTTATTATAAAACACTGATTATAGTTGCTCAAAATGAAGGCAACTATCTGTTTGCATTTTTTTTACAACTTCCAACTAAACTCTTTCCCATATGTAATAATAAAACCTTTCACATTTAAATAACTCATTTGCTGTGTTGTTTTTTTTTCCTTCTGTCAGGGTTTGACTTGCTGCAGGACCTGCAGGGTCAGGCGGGGGGCGGTTACTCCTTGCCTCCCTGCCCAGACGACAGCTTCCTCTTCCAGGCAGGTGGTGTCGACCGCTGCCTCAGTCAGATTTACTCCGTCTATCTGGACTCGTGATGGACACCCAGAAAGATTCTATGCAGCATGAATGCGACAGCTGACAATCACTCACTTGTGTATATATATCTAAGGATCATTTTATCAGCATTGTTTCTTTTTTGGCAAGAGAAAAAAGCCAGTGGGAGTTTAAATGGTACAAAAATAACTAGAGGCGGAAAAACTCTTGTTAAGCTGTGGATCTGTGGACAAACAAACAAATGGCCAAAAGGGAAAATCACAGAGAGGCAGTACTGTGCAAGAGTCTTGACCCACCCAACATTTCTTTATATTTCGCTAGCAAAATGGGAAATAGGCAATGCCATTTGTTGAAATGTTCAAAGATGTAAGGCGGAAACAGTGTTTGCAGATTTCTAAAAAAGCTTGAAAGTCAATATCTGGTATGACGCTTTCATTTAATTTCTTTAAGTAGTCTTTAGGAAATGTCCTCCAGACTTCTTGAAGAACATTTAAAGCTTTTCTTTGGATGTTTGCTGCATTGAGCTCTGTGCTCTGTCAACATGATCCCACACTGTTTCAGTAATGTTGAAACAGGGTGCCCAGTCCATGACCGATACTGTTCCGTTGTGTGTTTTTCTATTCAGGTATGCTTTTACTGCATCTTCAGTGTGTTTGGGAGCATTGCCACTAAGATGATTTTCAGATGGTATTGAATGGTGGACCGAAATCTGACAGTATCAGATGTGACAGGATCCCCAAGGGCATGTCTGTCAGATGATAATACTATTACTAGAATAGCGTTATAAGCCTGCCACTTCTTCATTTGTCCCTTGCTTGTTCAGTTCCCTAAAATTCTTTAAAGATGCTGCTCAGAGGTCAGTGTAAAGTGGCTTAGTAAACAAAAACATTCCTGTGAAAATGCTCAGGTACAAGCATTTTGTACCTGTACATTTTGTACACTGTAACCAGTGTCCAAAGAAAAATATTGAAAGACTTTCAGAAAGCCTGGAGGGCTATTGCTCAAGAGCACTTTAAAGATTACAAGAGTGTTTGGCTGCTTGGAAGTAAAGTATAATGAAATTAGGAGTTGGTCAAGATTTCTGCACAGTATTCTCAGTAGCAAAGTAGCAATGACCTTTTTTTTTTTCTAAACTCAAAAATGACCACAACATTTGTGTTTTCTGGATAGAAGGAGCTGCAGGCTTCATTTTATTTGTCTTTGTCTCCAATGTTGATCTTAGCTAGTGAGGTCACTTCTGCCTCTGCAGCGGCTTGGTTTGTAGGAGATAATCAAAGAAGTAATCCATAATGCAATGCTTCCCAACCTCGTGTGGGTACACGAAGTAGAATGTAGAAGATGATTTCAAAGACATCAGTAAAACGAAATATCCACATTCACAAAATTTTCTAATTTCATATTTTCTTGTTGTTTGTGTGTAAATATTTTTTTTAAAATGTTTGCAGTCCTCACAGTGATTTAGATAAAACAGTGGAGGTTGGAGAATAACTCAAAGACATAAAGTTGTAAATAAAACGCTCAGATTCAGCTTTTTAATTCAACACATTCAGCAGTTTAAACATTTCAAAGCTTAGTCCAGCGTTTGGGAGAGATTCTTGCTGTGTGTTTGTCTGGGTTACATAAGAAGACCGATATCTCTTTGTTGTTGTTGTATTAACTATGAAGCTACAGCTACCACCTGGTTAGCTGAGTGTGGGATAAAGACTGGAAACAGCTAGCATGGGTCTAACAAAAGCAATAAAATGGACCTAAAAAACATCTACAGAAGATGCTTTCAGCTGCTCCCTTCTTTCCAAGGGGAGGCGTAGCAAATTGTTCCAACCATTTCCTCCTGATAATCAGTCTATTCATTTATGTTTCCAATGATATCTCATGTGTTTGTGTGGCCTCTGATCCAAAGAGACAGGAAATCACAATAGAGTTAAACTGAAAGATACTTTTTTCCTGTAGTTCTCAGGAGGATATACACTCGGCTTTGCTGATGCAGTGTCCCTCCCACATTCATCCAGGCTTGGTTCTGGCACTGAGGGAGTACACTGGCTTGAGTCACTAGAAGCTGGGTTTGTGTCTCCTCCCAGTCTTAATTTTTTTTTTTTTTTTGTATGTATGTAAAACAAATGAGTCGACCACAAAAATGCTCAGTTGAATGTCTGAATAGAAATCTATAAACTGGGAGTCTTAACATTTAGATGTGCTGTGAAGGGAAACACAGAGGTTTATGGTTGCATGCCATCACGTTGACAGAATGAAATCTTTCAATTTTCCAGATTTTTCTTGATATGAAATCTTTAACACACAAAATGCTACTTTCAGCTACTCCCTTACTGATCACGTTAACAGGGAGCATGTAAACAAACATTGTGCTTGAATCATCACAAATTAATACAAATGTAGGAAAGCCTTTGGACTACATAATATCACTGTTGCTATAATGTGTTTTCACTTATTCAAAGCAAATTCATGTATGGAACCTCTGACATTTATAGTTTTATAAACATAGCCCACATCCTGTACAGCTGCAGTTTATGATGTCCTTGCCTGCAGCTACAGGTAGCACCTCAGTCAGTTACACAGAGGCCTATCAACAAATGTTGGTATTAAATATCCTGGACATTTAAAAAAAAATGTAGGCATTAAGGTATTTGTAAGCCTTTAGATTTTCTTTTCTCTAGGCTGTGGACATTTAAAAAGTCTTTTTAATGATCAGTTTGTCAGACCAACTGCTTTAAACTACTTTATGGACGTATTTGATCCAGACCTTTGGATGATGGTGTTTAAAGTGTGCACATTACCGCCACTGTGCAACAGAAATGCTTTTTCTGCAGACGTCTTAAGGGGGTGTCACAACACGTAACATCTGTTTCCAAAATGTCCAAACTGCTTTACTACAACATCTGTATTCATCATGTGAAAAAGCTTGTTTTTTCTTTCAGAAACGCAATGACTGGAAAAGAGCAGCAGTAAAACTGTAAATTCTTTTCTGTATCTTGGCTATGACTGAGGGTTAATTTGGTCTGACAATAATTAGATCCTCTAGGAGTGTAGTGGTTTACACATTTTCCTAATAAGTAAAGAAAGTGTCTTCTCCCAGTTTGAGACTGGGAAGCACAACAGGAAGGGCATCAAGTGTTTAACGATATCTCAGACAATCAAACTACCTGCTGTGGTGACTCCTTGTGAATAAAAGAGCAGCTGAAAGTAGCTTTTTAATAGAGCAGTGGAAGTTGTTTCATTTTATCCCATTCATATGTGTGTGAAGTCAAAAGGATGAATTTTAGCATGCTTTATGGTGTGCACAACATTATACTGTGTCAAGGAGGAAGCTTGGAAAACATTTTAAAGCTGTGTGAAGCTATTTCCAGTCCTCGTGTGAAGCTAACCTAACCCAGCTGCAGCCTTACACTAAACAGTCATCATATGTAACTCGCAACAAGAAAGACGTCATCTGAAGATAATAATTTACTCCTTTAAGGTCATAGTGTGTGTTTGTGAGTAACCAGATTATCTTGTATCTGCAGTGTCAATGAGCAAACTCACTCTGCTTGTGACTAGAGGGGAAACTGCAGCAGATACCCAAAACAGGGCTGCTGTATAGAAATGTTCCAGAAATGTCACAAAGGGGAGTTGTTGTTGATGAAACAAACAAAACTATGCAATAAACTGCACTAAAATAAAGTTATTCTCAAAAACAGGACAGCGGTATAATCGTTTTTGCAACAGTGTGACTCGTTTCTTCAGCGCGCTGCCTTTTATGTGTTTATTGTACAGTTTCGATCAGTGTTATTTTCAGTGTTTACAGTATCTTCTCTGCACTCTTTTCTGTCTCGGCTTAGAGACTTTGAGAAAATGACCAACCAGAAAATGTTTACACTGATTTTGTAGTAATTCAGAGTTTTCTTATTGAACTGTATAAAAATGCATCTTTTATACCAAAATAAAAAAGAATCTGTTTGTATTTGCTTGTTTTTGTTTTGTTTTTAAGTACTGAATCAGTGCATGTTCTGCATTTTAGTGTGAAATGTGACAAACAATGATTATAATTCTTAATTTTGTTATTTTGGGTTTTGTGATTCCATGTTTAGAAGTGGATGATCTTGGTTGGGTAATGCTGCCATCTACTGGACCAGCTGGATCAAGTTCATTCCCACTCTAAATTGTAAGACTTTT